TTGATTCGCTGGGGCCAGGGAAACGCAAGGAAAGGGGGGATGCTCGTGTTGATGGGACCTGATGCCCGAACGAATTGAACGAGGTCGGGGCGTTGTTGTGAAGGGTCGGCTTCGGACATCGCGGCGAGATGGCTCGCGGGGCCTGGGGCCTCTGCCCGAACGGGCTTTGGAGAAGGGTTGCGTCAGACATCGCGTTCGCGAGTGGAGGAAAGGGGCATCGGGCCCCTGAAGGAGATCGAGGAGAGGATATGGGGGGGATGGGCTAACTTGCAAGGAGGGGAGGGGTAGAACATCGTGCTGGTCGGACCCCTGGACACATAGCAACCTCAGGTGGCTGTGCTGTTCGGAGTTCTCGGGTCAGAAAAACGCGAGGAGAGTATGGGGTGCCAGGTGTGGATCGGGCTACCCGAACAATACCTGAGAAGAAGAGGATCTTGGGAAGGATATCGTGCTGTTCGGGCCAATGGGGCCCAGGAAACGAAAGGGAAGGAGGGCGGTGCTCGCGATGGTCGGACCCCTAGGGCCAGAGAAGCCTGAGGAGATGAGGGGGGCCTCACATTGAATAATTCCGATCTGAAGTACCTTCAGATCCGCCAGCTGCGCATCATGTTTGCGCACTGGGATCGCAACAAGGACGATGGGAATGAGGGCCACTCGGGGTTCAATTCCTGATCATGACGATGCCGTGGCACATAATGCTTGGACGGCGTGAGCTCACGGTTTTCCAAACATGCTGTGGTCTGGCATTGCGCCAGGAATCTGGAAAGGCGCCCCCTAACCCTTCAACGGGCTGAAAAATCGCGAAGGGGGGGGGGGGGGGAGGAGGAGGAGGACGAGGAGGAGGACGACGAGGAGGAGGAGGAGGAGGAGGACCCTCCGCAGGATAACGAGATCCCCGAGCTGCCACACGAAGAGATGCAAGCGATGATGGCGGCTGCGATGGGCCAGCTGGAGGAGGGAGGAGGGGCGGACAGATCTCTCCATCCATCTTATCCTCAAGTTCCGTTTCGGTCTCCTTCTCCGCCTTCTCGTTCTCCGTCTCCTCCTTCTCTTTCTCCTCTTTCTCCACTTCCCCCTTCTCTCGCTCATGATGCCCCTCGCCCTGCTCGCATATGTGTAGGGGCCTGACGGGGGGACCTCGATCAGCCGGCATGAGCGGCATAGATTGTTCCAACTATTCGAAGCCGGCGATCGCGCGGAGATGCTCGCGCTTCGCTCGTCGGGGCTGCTGCTGCTGCGATGATGACGATGTTGATGATGCTGACGGTGATGCTGCTGATGATGCTGCTATGATGATGTGGATGACGATGCTGATGATGATGTTGATGATGATGTTGATGGTGATGGTGATGATGATGACGATTATGAACATGATGATGGTGCTGATGATGAGGATGCTGATGATGATGATGATACTGATGAGGAGGAGGAGGGGGATGTGGAGGAGGATGAGGAGGAGGAGGAGGAGGATGGGGGGGGGGGAGGGGGCGGAGGAGGAGGAGGAGGAGGAGGGTCGAGGCACGGAGAGAGAGAGAGAGAGAGAGAGAGAGAGAGAGAGAGATCCCTCTCTATCTCTCTCGCTCGATCGATCGGGAGAGAGAGAGAGAGAGAGAGAGAGAGAGAGAGAAAGAACAAAAAAAAAAAAGAGGGAGAGAGAACGAGAGAGAGAGAGAGATAACGTTCGGGACTCAGCGAGGTGCCTACGGCTATGGCACCAGCAGACAGCCAGGCACCAGATGACAGCCAGGCACCGTATACGCCGCCAGCAGACAGCCAGGCACCTACGCCGCCAGCAGACAGCCAGGCACCTACGACGCCAGCAGCCAGCCAGGCACCAGCCAGCCAGGCACCAGCCAGCCAGGCACCAGCGGCCAGCCAGGCACCAGCCAGCCAGCCAGGCACCAGCAGCCAGCCAGGCACCAGCAGCCAGCCAGGCGCCAGCAGCCTGGCGCCAGGCACCAGCAGCCTGGCGCCAGGCCATGTCGCAGACATAGCCTTCCTTGGCAGTGTGCTCGGCAAGCGGAGCCCGCCGCGCCCCGGCTGCTCGGGCCGCAAGAAGAAGCGCAAGGACAAGGCTGCCAAGGGTGAGCCGTCGACGAGCGAGGAGGAGTGGTCAGGCCAGATCCCAGAGCTGGTCACTGCGAGCCAGGGCGCTGGCGGCAAGGGCAAGGGCAAGAGCTCGACTAGTGGCAGGGGCAAGGGCAAGACAGGCAAGGGTGCGGGTCGCGGCAGCAAGGGCTCGAGCAGCAAGGGCTCGAGCAGCAAGGGCTCGAGCAGTACGGCCGCTGGCGAGCTCAAGGCCAAGGCAGAGCAGCCCGCTGACGAATGCGAGCCTGAGGAGATCGTCGAGGCGCCAGCTGGCGAGCCTGAGGAGATCGTCGAGGCGCCAGCTGAAGGCGAGTTTGAGGAGATCGTCGAGGCGCCAGCTGAAGGTGAGGTCGAGGAGATCGTCGAGGCGCCAGCTGCAGGCGAGGGCGAGGATGAGGCGGCAGCGGTCGAGGGCGAGCAGCTCACCTCGGCGGAGTTCGAAGCGCCCTCGGACGACCAGGCCAGCTGGGAGAAGATTGCGGTGAAGATCAGGGGGAGGGATTCCGAGCAGCTGGCGACGATCGCCTACGAGTACCAGGCCAGCAAGGCCAAGTGGTTGCAGCTGGTCCAGGTGAGCGACCACAGCACGTCCCACCTTCAGCGTCGCCTCGTCGGCTGGCAGCCCTCCGAGATCCGCGACCTGATCATCGACAAACTAGCGGCGGTGGCCATCAGGCGCGAGGCGTTCCAGGAGATGCTGACTTAATATTGATCAGGCTCGGTGGGAGGAGGATGAGGGCGATGTCGAGTAGGAGGTGCAGGAGGAGGGGGAGGAGGATGGAGGAGCTCGAGGAGGGAGGGGGAGGAGTAGGAGGAGGAGGAGGAGAAGGAGGGCGAGATGGGTCGCCACGCCGACTGCGGCGACTAGGATTTGCGATAAGGGAAGGGGGGAGGATGCAGGAAGAGAGAACAGAGAGAGAGAGAGAGAGAGAGAGAGAGAGAGAGCGATAGAGAACAGGAGAAAGAGGAAACGAGAGAGAGAGAGAGAGAGATCAAACAAAGAAAGAAAGAAAACAAACAAGAGAGCGACATATACATACACATATATATATATATAGGAACACAGAGTGAAAGACAGAGCGAATAGGATTTCTGGCGAGACAGATCGCAAGACAGAATGGGGGGTGGGGGGAGAGAGAGAGAGAGAGAGAGAGAGAGATCCTCTCTATCTCTCTCGCTCGCTCGATCGATCGGGGGAGAGAGAGAGAGAGAGAGAGAGAGAGAGGGATATATATATATATAGAGAGAGAGAGAGAGAGAGAAAGAGAGAGAGAGAGAGAGAGAGAGAGAGAGAGAGAGAGAGAACGTTCGGGACTCAGCGAGGTGCCTACGGCTATGGCACCAGCAGACAGCCAGGCACCAGATGACAGCCAGGCACCGTATACGCCGCCAGCAGACAGCCAGGCACTTACGCCGCCAGCAGACAGCCAGGCACCTACGACGCCAGCAGCCAGCCAGGCACCGGCCAGCCAGGCACCAGCCAGCCAGGCACCAGCAGCCAGCCAGGCACCAGCCAGCCAGCCAGGCACCAGCAGCCAGCCAGGCACCAGCAGCCAGCCAGGCGCCAGCAGCCTGGCGCCAGGCACCAGCAGCCTGGCGCCAGGCCATGTCGCAGACATAGCCTTCCTTGGCAGTGCGCTCGGCAAGCGGAGCCCGCCGCGCCCCGGTTGCTCGGGCCGCAAGAAGAAGCGCAAGGACAAGGCTGCCAAGGGTGAGCCGTCGACGAGTGAGGAGGAGTGGTCAGGCCACATCCCAGAGCTGGTCACTGCGAGCCAGGGCGCTGGCGGCAAGGGCAAGGGCAAGAGCTCGACTAGTGGCAGGGGCAAGGGCAAGACAGGCAAGGGCGCGGGTCGCGGCAGCAAGGGCTCGAGCAGCAAGGGCGACAGCAAGGGCTCGAGCAGCAAGGGCTCGAGCAGCACGGCCGCTGGCGAGCTCAAGGCCAAGGCAGAGCAGCCCGCTGACGAATGCGAGCCAGAGGAGATCGTCGAGGCGAGCAGCAAGGGCGACAGCAAGGGCTCGAGCAGCAAGGGCTCGAGCAGCACGGCCGCTGGCGAGCTCAAGGCCAAGGCAGAGCAGCCCGCTGACGAATGCGAGCCAGAGGAGATCGTCGAGGCGCCAGCTGGCGAGCCTGAGGAGATCGTCGAGGCGCCAGCTGAAGGCGAGTTTGAGGAGATCGTCGAGGCGCCAGCTGAAGGTGAGGTCGAGGAGATCGTCGAGGCGCCAGCTGCAGGCGAGGGCGAGGATGAGGCGGCAGCGGTCGAGGGCGAGCAGCTCACCTCGGCGGAGTTCGAAGTGCCCTCGGACGACCAGGCCAGCTGGGAGAAGATTACGGTGAAGATCAAGAGGAGGGATTCCGAGCAGCTGGCGACGATCGCCTACGAGTACCAGGCCAGCAAGGCCAAGTGGTTGCAGCTGGTCCAGGTGAGCGACCACAGCACGCCCCACCTTCAGCATCGCCTCGTCGGCTGGCAGCCCTCCGAGATCCGTGACCTGATCATCGACAAACTAGCGGCGGTGGCCATCAGGCGCGAGGCGTTCCAGGAGATGCTGACCTAATATTGATCAGGCTCGGTGGGAGGAGGAGGAGGGTGATGTTGAGTAGGAGGTGCAGGAGGAGGAGGAGGAGGAGGAGGAGGAGGATGGAGGAGCT